TAGGAAAGAATTCAAGGATTTCATCTTGTGACTTTTATTCATCATTATACTGATACTTCTAGCCAGTGCAATTGGGCAAGAAAATAAAATTGGAAGAATAGGAAAAGAGGAAATCAAATTATTTTATTAGAAGAAAGTAGGATTTCTTAAGAGAAAATCTGATGAAATTTTTTTAAGCAACTAGAACTAATAAGTGATTATAGCAAAAATTAATTGTATTTATATGCTACCAATAAATAATTAGAAACTAAAAATTTTAAATCCCATTTGTAATAACATAAAAATATGAAATACTTAGAGGTCTGACAAAAAATGTGCAAAACAAATATAATGAAACTTACAAAATAGGGTTGAGAGAAATTAAAGACCTAAAAATGGAGAAATACATTTTGTTCATAGGTCAGAAGATTCAATATTGTTAACATTCTTGATAATCCTGACAAAATGAATGTAATGAAACAGTTATAAATTTAAAAATCTGCGTGCTGTATACAAACTACTTATGAATGCAATAAAATAAGGTTTAAATAATTGGAGAGTCATACTATGTGCCCGGGTGGACACTCAACATAGTAAAAATGTAAATTCTCCCCAAAACAATCTATAGATTAAATGCAATGCCTGTCAAAATCCCAGCAGGTTTATTGTAGGCTATAAATTGTCAAGTTATTTATCACTTTCATATGGAAATACAAAGGATCTAAAATAGCCAGAACAACTTTGAAAAAGACGAGCTATGTTGGAGGACTAACACTATCTGATTTCAAAGCTTATTATAAAACTAAAATAATTGAGATAGTGTGGTGGTGAAGTCAATAAACAAATAGATAATACAACAGAATAAAAGATCCAGAAATAGATGCATATATATACACAAGCAACTGATTTCTGATGAAGATACAAAGACAATTCATTGGAGAGAATACAGAATCTTCAACAAATATTTCTGGAACAATTAGAATTTTAATCCATGCTGTTAAGTACAAACAAAAATAAATGCAAAAGGGATCACATAACTAAATGTAAATCCTAAAACTATAAAACTTTTATAAGAAAACAGAGAAAATTTTATGACTTTGAATTAGACAGAAATTTCTTACATATGCTGTTTCATAAAAGAAAACAATGATAAACTGGATTTCATTAAAATTTAAAACTTTCTCTCTCCAAATATACGATTTGGAAAATGAAAAGACAAGCCATCAACTGGTTAAATATATTTGCCAAGCATATATCTGATGAATGACTTTTATACAAATGATATACAGAACACTAAAAATTCAATGAGACAAGCCAATAAAAATATGGGCAAAAATTTCAGACAATACTTGAACAAATAAGATGTGCAGATGTCAAAGAAACATGAAAATTTGGTCATCATTAGTCACTTGGAAAAGGCAAATTAAAAGCATCATGAATGGGATATTACTTAGCAGTAAAAAATAACAAATTATTAATATGCACAAAACTTAAATGAATCTCAAAGACATGCTGAGTAAAAGCCAATCTCTAAGGGTTATATCCTATATAATTCTACTTTTTTGATAATCTCAGAAACACAAAACTTTACTGAAAGAAAATGATCCATGACTGCCAGGGGTTTTGAGTAGGAGGAGGTTGTCACTACAAAGGGAAAGCAAGAGGGAGCTTTTTAGAGTGATAGAACTATTCTGTATCCTGATTGTGATGGTGCTTACATGATTTTATACATGCGTTCAAGGTGATAAAACTGTACACAAAATTTTTTAAAAGTCAATTTTATTGTCTGACAATTTTTTAAAACATTTAACATAGTTTAAAAAAAAAAAAACAACCATGAGATACCACTGCACATCTACTAGAATAGTTAGTTAAAAAGGCTGACTATACCAAGTGTTGGTGAAGATGTGAAAGAACTGGAATCCTCACACACTGCTAACAGGAACGTAAACTGGTACAGTGACTCTAGAAAACACTTCGGCAATTTCTTAAAAACTTAGCTATTCTAATCCTAGGTACTCAACCATGAGAAGAGAAACACATGTTTGTGAAAATTATGTGTAAGCAAGTATTCATATCAGTTTTATATGTAGTTGCTAAAAATGGAAATAACCTAAATGCCATCAGCAGGTAAATGGAGAAACAAATTTTGGTACATCCATTCAATGAAACACTACTCAGCAATAAAGAGGAATGAACTATTGATATATGCAACAACATGGAAGAATCTTATAATACCATGTTGAGTGAAAGATGTCAGACAGAAAAAGCAGTTCAAAATGTATGATTCTATTTATATAAAGTTCTAGAAAATGCAAACCAAAGTATAATGACACAGAGCATTATCAGAAAGCAGTGATTCCCTGGGGATGGAGAGGGGATGCAGGAGGTGGAATGACAGGAAGTTTTAAAAAGTGTCGTGAGGAAACCTTTGGGAGCAATATATGTGTTCTTTATCTTGATTATGCTGTTGGTTTTACACATGTATACATATGTCATAACATCAAATTGTACTCTTCCAGTATATGCAGTTGTCAATTATACCTCAACAAATATTTTGAAAATACTTTTACATCAATAGGGAAGTAGGTAATCTCTTATCTGCACTCAAAGCGAACAACAACATATATTTCAGAGAATTAAGTATATCTATGCATCCTCTTTCTTTAAGCTTTTAGGTAGTTCTGTTACCTAACCAAAGTGGGTTCCCTCCTGGTGAGTTAAATCAGACTCTCCACAAGAAGTCCATTGTCTCCCAAAGTAATGGATATTTGAGGCAAATAGGAGACCATAAGGAATCATTCCAAAGTCATGGTCTCCTCAAACAAAGGGAAGAGGGGACATTTATTTTGGATGGGGAATGAATATTCGAAAGAGAGAGGAGGGTATTCACTTGCACAGTCTCAGTTGGAAAACATGCTTCCACATACACTGCAGGTTATGGTGATAAGGCCTAAGCTCCTCCTGGAGAGATCTTAGCATTAAAAGTAAGGCAAAGGTCATAGGCATAGCTCATGTGGTGAGGCTTGGTGTGGTTCAGCATGGTTGGTGATGGCATCTCCTTAACATAACAAAAGGGAAAAAAATATTGGAAAAACAGTTAAATGCTTCCAAAGGCATCCTTGAGTTCCTCAGGGCAACTGGTCCATGACAGATCAAGTTCTAGCTTTTATAGCATTGTATTATCTGTTATGAATATAAAAATATAAGTAACTAAAAACTTGAAATATGTTAGGTATAAAGTCAAATGACAATCATATTCCATTGTTTTACAGCTTCATTGAGGTATAATTGACATATAATAAGCTCCACATATTTCAGGTGTGCAACTTGATAAACTGTGAACATATTTTTGCTTATATGATCTCATTTGATTGTCAGAACAACCATAGAACATTTTCTATTATTTTCCCTTCACTGGTAAGCAAACTGGGATTAGTGGGGTTCAGTAACTTCCTTGGGGTCATAGGTGATAAGCAGTAGACCCCAGATTTTGCATCTGATGATTGTGTTTTCCCATGCAGTTGAAATCTCCATGGTTCTTTGTACTCAGAGTAATTTTGAATTATTTTCGGCAGTTTTAATACTATGTTATGAAATTCTGTTTCTAATTTAAGTCTTAAGGAAAATGTTGATATTTTTTATTTCATACGCTACTGACTTAGGTTTAGGTTGCAAGATCCAACATGCCTTCTGTAGGCCCTGTTTCCGATGTCAATTCAGTTTTCATAGTCTTTTTAGAGTTCTTTGGATGTGTCCCTGTGGTGCAGCCTACTGGTTAATTGGCACACAAGTGGTGGTCTATCCCTTAGTTTAGTTCTCAGTACGTTTTTTAGGCTAATTAGGATCAGATGCATACATGTATGGCTTCAGGTTGAGTCCTGAAGTTCATAAATAACTTTACAGGGTTACTTTCCTGAGCTTCTCCTTCTCTGTACCCTCCCCATCACTGTCTGGTTCCTTGGGATAGCCTTTTTCTCTCCTCCAGTCAGTAACCTGTGGTTATCCGCCTTTACTGCACATTTCCAAGATTTCTTGGGGGCTAGGACATGATAGAATGGAAAAGAGAGGGAGGAATAAAATGGGAGATTTCCACACTCTGCTTTTTAGGATTTCTCTTTCCAGTTCCCTAAGCCGGAGTTAGAGGGCTTCTCCTGGAACTCTCTCTGTCTATGCCACAGTGCTTACTTCTTAGTTTCAGCCTGTGTTCAAACTGGGGAATACTGGAGAAAAATAAAATGGTAAACTCACTGCTGATTGGATAGTACTTCAAATTCTGGTATTCTTCCCTGATCTGTTTACTAATATGGACTTCTCAGACTTGTTCAATAGTTGATAAGTCATTTTGCCCAGGTTGTATCATTGTTATCAATGGGTGAGAGAGGGTAAAGCATTTTACTCCCTCTTATCCGGAACTGGAAACTGACATTCCATTTTCATTGATCAGATGAGCATTTTGCTTGTTCATTAAGAGCATAAGGATATAGTATGAAATATGAGTTTTAAAGATGTTTATACCATTGTCATCCACCTCTATTTCTCTTATATTACTTCTATTATAACTAACAGAAAGCCTACCCTATGTCCTTTTCTTTCTCCTTCCACCATAACTTTTATATAAAACGTACTAATAGAGGTGTTATTTGCCCTTTTTCTATGTAAAGATTAATTAAACTAATGTTTGCTTGCTGGTCGTCTTACAATTCTGTTCTTCCCAGAAAGGTTATGATTACAAGGTAATCTTGGCCACTGGTTCTATTCTTCAATCTGAGCATGCATCAGATAAAGTGTATGTAAACTTGCAAAGTAACAATGCTTTCTCATAGGCTGTGTCTCCATGACTCCAGGTTACACGACTTGGACAAAATACGAAATTTTTGCAATTTAGCCTTGGAAATATGTTTTTTCAGTAAACCAAACATGAATTTTCATGATCATGGACAGATTGGTTTTAGATATCACTCTAAGATAAATGGAGTTTTCTTTTAAATATATTCAAATAAGGCGAAAAAAGGGTTGATACTTTGATTTTATTCTTGGCTGCAACAATAGCTGATGATAAAGGAGGGAAATTGCTGCACAGAAATTTAGTAATGTTTTACATATAATGACAGAATGAGTTTTGGCTAGTAGCACAAAGACCAGTCTGATAATTATCTGTATTTGTGATAAGTATTGACAATGTATAAAAGAAAATAAAAACAAAGGGAAAAAATTCCCAGCATTATGATGGAAAGAAAAAATAGGGAGTTTTCTAGATTACCCACGTGCTGCTCCTCCATACAAAAGTAATGAACGAATATTCAAATGAAGGGTGATTGGTTTGTTTTCGTTTTTGTTGGTTGTCTTTTTTAAGTAAGTCAATAAATAAATAAGTAAATATTTATAAACCTAACTAAAATGAGCATGGATCTTACTAAAATCGAGTTGTACCCTTAGAATGAACTAACTCAATTTTTAATTAAAATTTCAAATGTTTCTAATAAAAATTGAGGATAATTTCAATAGCATAAGTTTGCAGAGTATTATGGAACTAATCTAAGTAAAGAATGTGAAGATGCCAGTAGACCATTGAAGAATATTGCATTTTCAAGCCACAGATCTTTTTGGCCATGTGTTACTTTCAAGTGTATCATTCTTAGTGGAACGGATGGGTTTGCTAAATTGTCTTGAGTTTTTCGTACAGCAAGAATCATGGTTCTATGGGCCTTGGAGTCTTGTCCATTTCATCCCTACCCCCAAAATAATTTACATCAACAGCAAGAGTATGTCATTTTATCCTTTTCTTTATCTGTAAAAGTTGTCTTTGCATTCTCTTTCATAGTTCATTTCTAGAACAGAGATACTTCTTAGTTCCCCAAATTAAAAAACAAACACATAGGACTAGGTGTAATCACTGTCAGTTGTCTCAGTCACAAAAGAGAGAATGTGATCATCTTGACCCTAGAAAGCAGGGACCAAATTGGACTATGGGTGAGCCTTTTTTTGTCCACCCCTCTTAAGTAGCTGAGTGATCTTTATTATACAGACTTTTGAAACAAAAGAAACTATACTTGCTGCTGCTGAAAAAGCAATGAGGGAGTATCAGAATCTTTATGAATGTTATTACGAACAGAGCAACCTTTTAGACTGATTTCCATCTCTTGAATCTGAAATGTAAATTCACTGCCTTATAACGAATTACCTAAGGCCCACACAGTGAATAAAGGGGAGTTTTTCCCCTTATCTCTGGCCATCAATTCCTAAAATACAAAGTAAACTGAACTGAAATATAAACATGACTTAAATTGAATATTTTAAGATATAAAATGCATCAAATATATAAAATCTCCCTTTTCTTGCACTCTCCATCTCTTTTTAAAAATGCTTTAAGAAGTTAAGAAATCATAAATCTTCATGGTCATCCTTTAGGAAATTGATGTATCTCAACTTCATGTAAAAGTTGGGCTCTATTTTTCAAATATGATTAAAATGCTGAAAGAAGAAAAAATATTTCATCTTAAAATTTCATTGAATCAATCATCTTAAGAAGCTGGGATTTGATAAGCAAATTATATGGTTATTATATGACTACTAATAATTCTAAATGGATTTTAAACAGATTCTGCAGTTTATTTTAGGGAAATGGATGAGTGACTTTGGCCATAGAACCCTCTACTGATTGATTAAAATAAGAGAGAGAGAGAATCATGGGTTTTCTGCAAATAAATACACTGCTTGTGCTTTTATGGTTTTTTTGCTGTTTTCTGAGGAAGAATAAGTAAGGTAAATTAATCTTGAGAGTAGGGAAGACTTTGCAAAGATACACAAGTTCTTATATAATGTAAAATTATTTTCCCATTTATTAATTAGCTCTGTTCTTTGTCCAGCTCAATGTTAATGATAAAGTGAAGCAGTAAGAGAGAGTCACAGACCTCTTGGAAATCACAATACAACAGCTGGAAAAGAAAAAGTGCCTGATCGCTGGCAGCCTGATGAGTCCAAGTCTCCGCCACGCTTAGTTAAATGACCATAGAAAAAAGCTACCAGCCCTCAACTGGGATTTCTGGAGTTTTGGGACACGAAGGATATGTCAAAAAGAAAAAAGGTACAGAACTTCTGGTCAAAATAAAATGGGAAATTAGAGCTAAATTAAGCAGGGACCAATGGCACACTGTAGTCTTACAAATAAACATTATTTAGATCTATAAACTAATGAAAATTTATATATTATAGAAAGCTAACTTACTGTGGATGCTTGTGTTAACCTCAGTAATCCATGCCTTGAAAAGGTCTAGCCTTTTCACGTATGAAATCAAAGTCAGACGCTTGTTGGCAGGTTGGTACTAAATAGTCGTGAATTCTTCATTCAAATTAGCATACTTCCAAGTCTTCTAAAGTAAAGAAATTTCGACTAAAATTCCTTCTTCTTTGTCTCTTCCATTGTTGTTTGTTTCCACGTAAATCTGTGGAACTACTCTTTCTTCAATGCTATGGAAAGCAGTAGAAAGTAGAATATTTGAGAATAAAAATTATTTAAAAAGAAAACAATTTAACATGTATGTGGGTTCAGTGAAAGTGTTTGTGATCAAAGGGAATTTCAGTTACCTAAATGCTTTAGATTTCGAAAATCATACAACTGGAGTTCTATCCTGTGTCTTGCGTTTTCAAATGTTATTCAACTACTTGCTCTTTCTTGATTGCGTCTTGTATTGTATAACCTAAACCTACTACGGCTAGGTGCAGCCTGGATGTACTGCTCTACCAACTCAAGATGCAAATGCTTAAATTTTTGAGAAGTGTTTCAATTGTTGACTCAAGCTCTCACCTACCTTATTAACCAAAATGTCTCTAACATTCTCCTTTGATGGTCCCACAGTCCTGACTTTTTAAGAATCCTGAGGACTAAGGCGTGTTCTCACCGTGGGTTCAGCCTCCACGTCCGAGCTTAGAGAAGACAGGTCAGTACCAGCTGTAGTTGCTACTCAGTGGTTCACTCACTCTCCCACAAGTGATACTGTCCTTTCCTAAGTCTAGAATTCCTTGATCTAAATCTTGGCATGAATGAGTATACACCTCTATAAAAGCAAAACCACATTCTCTGGGTGCTAATTTTGGCCACAGGGCTCCATATTTGGACTCTAATCCTTATATGCTGCCACCTTGCAGCGTGGCCCCAGCGGCTTACTAATCAAGGCTGTTTTCAGATGATTCCCTTTCAAGACATCCACCACTATAGGTCAGGAGCATTTTCTTTTTCAACTTTTACATATTAAGGATCTGATTACTTCCTTCTCACTTGGAAGATGAGGCTTCCAAATAACTCTCTGAATGAAAGCAAACTCAGCACCTCTGGGAAAGATTGTGTTCATCACTCAGGGATTCCAAGGGGATTTTTTTTTAGCTTACTTCTTCCTGGCAAGAAAAAGAAAATAGTCTGACAGAGCATCCTACATCTTGAAGACCTTATTATAACTGCACTGATTGGAGATCTAATAATTCATTCACTTTCACTGTGAAATAACCCAAGCAAAATATGTTTACTGTGATTACTACAATGGAGCCACTAATCATTAAAGTGGCATTAAATATATTAATTTAACTACATTAAAATAAAATGAAGTTACATATGCATGTTATAATCTGAAATTAGATGCCTATTATTTTATTTCAGGTCCTGAATGACATTTACCATTCTATATTCTGCATGTTGACCTAGTATATTTTCACTTTGAATTTCACATGAATGAATCTGGGTCTTGATGTGATGTAATGTATTTTAAAAAATATTTTTAGAGTGTTTTCTATGTGCCTGGCATTTGAGAAACAATAAAATAATTCTCATTTAAGTGTTTTAGGTGCTAGGGTTACAGCGGGGAAGTAAATAGACAAAAATCCATGGCCTCGTTGAGCTTACATTATAGTCATTTATATTTTTTCCTGAATGGTGTTCTTTTAAAGTATAATCTGTGATCTCGTACGTGACCCTGAGTAACTCATAACTCCCTATCCATAAATGATGAGACTGTACTCATTGCTGTGTAGGAGTATTTCTTAGTATAAGTCATAAGTAGCTTTCCATGGGTAGAATTTGAGACTTGGTAACTAAAATTTTAGGACATCAGTTACAGAGGAACAACAGTACTGTTCAAAACCACTCATCCCCAATTATTTCATTAGTCATTTTGATGTGCCTCCACATCTGACAGGAGAAGACGGCTTCATCTTCTTCTGAGGAAAGCTGAAGAGATTCAAATAAGGAAATGCCACCAAGTAGGTGACTGATGGTCTCAAATACACAGTGAATACCATTTACCACCATTTTGAAACATTCTCATTAAGGAATGATAAAATCTCATATAAATGTTTACATTTTCCACAGCAAGTATCTTTTAGAAGTTTTCTAAAAATGTTTAATAGATAAATATACTCGTGAATGAATGAGGTGAAAGGAATCATGAGTTTCAAAAGTGCATATTTCAGTGCAAGCGACTCATCCCCTCTTCCTTGGTCCACTGAGAAATAGTAATATAATTCTTGTTTAAAGGAAGCTCAACCAGTTCCATCTTATTCCTTAGTTGTTTGTTAGGGATCTATCTTCGGCCTTCTGACTAAATATAAATGCAGAATAAGGAATTTATTCTAACAAGTTCTCAAACACATTTTGCTAGAGCTGTGATTCTTATAACAACATTAAAATCTGAGAAAATGAAACTTGAGTCTGTGGCCTTTCAATATTATTTATTTCCAGAATGATGCCTATTTATATTTGAAAGGTTTTGTATAAGAGAGAAATCAACATATTCATATAATCTTCAGAAAGGATAGCTGGGGTCAAAGTTAGGGAGCTTTAAGGATTACTGTGAGAAAAATTATCTGGAACTTGAAAATAAGAAAAGATTACTGGTTATTCTCTCAGTGCTTGGCTCGTACTTTGAATAACTATTTTACAACTCCATCAGAGCAGAGGTTAATTTGGAAATTTTTATCTAGTAGACATGCAAATAATTTCTTTATGGTGGAACAGATAAACCCTCAAATTACAGTTTATTGTAACCAGTTTTCTATCAAACTCAGCTACCCTATTTTAACATTACTTTACTAATCTGCCTATAAATATCTAGCTTCTCAAAGGCTCTTTAGTCTCATTTTACCACCTTACTGCCTTGTTAATGTAGTGAGTTCAATACAGTCTTGGACATATGTTCATGTTATATTGTATGAAAATCATGTTTTTTAATCTTTTGAAAAATTATCCTTTAACAATGGTTAGACCCTTTTTACTTACTACTCTTTCTCTTTATTTTAACAGGTCTTGCAATCCTTTTCTAAGGGACTCTAAGTGGATAAGGTAGCATAATTGAGTGAATTCTGTACTTCCAGCCTTGTCCCCCCACTGACTACATATGTAACCCTGAGTGACTCATAGCTTCTCATCTATAAATGGCATACATGTGTGAATTCCTAAGACTAAGTGACAAGTACTTCCCATGGGTACAATTTGAGACTTATTTCTACCTTAAATTTTAGAGCATCAATTGCAGAGGATAAATATGGTCATTCGTAGGATATTAAGGCTTCATTTCCTCAGCACGTATACTGAAACTGGAGCAATTCAAAATGTATTGGCATGAGCCCTCGCAAATAATTTTATGAATCAGTCCATAATTTTATGCTTCCTTTTCCCCAAAGCTTGACCTGATTCTTCCAGCTTGAAGTAATATCTCCCTCCTTCAAACTACAATTGCATTTTATATATGCTTTCACATGTTATATTATTTTTGAGAGTTTACCCCACTTATTCAGTTACAAATAAGAAGCAGTGGAAGCACATGGTTCTAATGTGTCTGCACTTAGAGAGCGTAACGTGGGATCTGCTGTTATCTATCTGTCTATCTTTCTGTATAAATTAATATAAACACTGGGAGAATATAAACCGATATCAACAGTGGTTATCGTTCTGGTATATAATAAATATAAGTTGCTCTCATAATCATTAGAAAGAAAATTTTTGATTTGGGTTAAACAAGCAAATACAACCTCAAAGGTCTCTCTTACTATACAAGGTAAAATCGGAACTCCTTAGATGTCATATAATGCCTTTCACCGTCTGGCTCCAAGCTACATGTCCAGAGTGAGCTCTCACCATCTTTTCCAATAAATTTTATTCCACAGAAACATTGGAGTTTTGTGGTTTTCTGAGCATGTCATATACTTGCATAGCTTTGTAACTTTAATCATATTGTTTTCTTGGCCTAAAAAACATTTCTCACTATTTTCACTTGAAAAAAAAATAAAATAAACATGAAAGTCAAAGCCAAACTCAAATGTGGTCTTCTTTGTGAAGCTATTTTTTGCTCCCAGCTTTAAAAATACAGCACAGCACAGCCTAAAGTGTACTCGTGTATTTTTTCCCAACCATACAGCTTCTCTAGAGTAAGGAATGTCTTATCTCTTCATGTTCTCTAGAATTAAATCAATAATAACAGCAATAATGATAAATGAATGAGTGTATGAATGTAAAACATGTCATCTACTTTTTCCCTAAGGATTGCCTGCCTATTCCCTGATTACTATAGCCTGTTTATACAGTAATCTTCTATTTCTCATCTCTAATTTCTTAATAGAGTATACCTTCTACAGTGTGCATGGTCACATTATTTCCTCTTCCTTCTTCAAGCTTTCACCCTTGTTTAATAAATCACAAATTTTCTACTAAACCATTCTGTTCTCTAGTTAATACTCTGGTTCCTTTATGAGAATTCCATTTCTCTGAGGTCTTATGTTATTTCCCACTTCCCTCTATCCTAAGAACATTCCCTCCTTTGTAGTGTTTCCTCTCCCAGACACCATTTGCCTGACAGTGGGATGCATAGTATCCTGGACATCAGAGATCTTCAAGTCTTGGTTCTGTGCAACTATTGCTCCCAATAGCACATAGTAAGCTTATTAAGCTTCCTTTTGTGTAAGAACAATGATTCTCAATGGCCAGTGGAGATGGAGGGAGTATATGAGACCGTATTCTTCAAGGAAAAACATCAATATTTGCTAACCTAACCACTACCTACCAAACCCAATCTTTTTTCTGATAAATCTTTGTTTTTCCCTATTGCTGGGGAAGAAGTGGTCCCTAGTAACTATCAGAAAATTAATATGAGAGGAAGTGCAGATATATATACAGTACTTGGGAACGAAATGAAGTACTCTTTAGAATGGAGAAGAAAAAAATCTTAAATGAATCAAAACTGGATGTGGTCACTCATTGGCCACAGAAAGTTGAGACTTACTTAATTGGATTACAGTTAGAGAATATTAAAGCTGAGTTAAAAATATTACTACAGGGAAAAGTAAGGAAATAGAGGAGAATAAAGAAAACATCAAGAAGTCCAGCATTCTCAAATGTTAGACATAATAATTAGAATTTGTAAAGTATCTGCTATTTACTAGGAGCTTTATGTTTGTTAGGTTTCTTGTCACAACTAGCAAGGAAGGTATTATTTCATTGTATGGATGGGTGAACTGACCTTTAGGGAGAGCAAGTCTCGAGGCCAAGGTCGCACAGAGATGGAAAATCAGAGGCAAGATGCAGACGCAGGTCCATTTCTGCTCTTCTACTTTCACCATCTTTATTCCATAGCTCCAGCTAAATTCATGCTAAGATTGATGGTGCCTCTAGCCTTCAGACATAATGACTTTAGTCTGAGTCACAAATATAGCAGGAAAAGGAAGTGGAGTCTATGTATTTAGATTGTGCTACTAATAAAGTTGCCTCAAACATTTTGGTGAGAATGAGTGGTTAATTAGCCGAAATTGATTGGTGACGGGAGAAATATTGAAGTCAGATGACTAATATTTAAGGCCATAAATATTGACATCTCTATTTCCAGGGCTGACTTAATGTTTCATATGCATAGTCTCCAATGGATTTTCTTGGCTTGCTACTTAGCTTGCCTTAAAGTGTTGCAAAGTTGATTGCCAATGATTCTCCCTGTATACTACTAGCTAACAGTTATTGAATTTTGCCCTGAGCCAGGGACTATGTTAAGCACTTACATGGATTATCTCATTTAATGCTCACAAAAGATTTATGAGTTGGGTAATATTATTATCCCCACCTTATTTATTGTGGAAAGGAGGCTCAGAGACTAAGTAACTTGTCTAAGACTCTACAGGCAAAAGTATATTGAGGGCACACTATTGATTCACAGAGCCACTGGGTTAAATCATACATTTAGCATTTCAGACATTAGGATGATGTCATCTCACTTGAAAATAAATGTCATTTGTAAAACAAATACATTGAAATCACCATTCTATGAGCAAAATCAGAAAATAATAAAGACTAGTTCAGCAAAAATTATATGCTAAGAAGGTTGCTTTGGGTAGAAATTTTTTATTCTATGCTGCAAAAGCCAGAGTAGTAAAAACCTCTAGCTATTTAAGTTAAGGCATTTTTACATAAAACCAAATCATGTATATGAAAATGTATAACTTACAAACACTGTATAGGTACTGGTCAGTAATAGTGTATAGTCTCTCAGCATGATTGGGCGTTTTTACAGTTCCCATCAGGGACAATGGTTGTATCCATGGCAACAGGTAGTACAAACACATTGCATTGTTATAAACACTCCAGGCTTAGAGATTTCATTCATCCAGGTTAAAAAAAAATATTCTTTCTCTTATTTCAGCTAATAAACATAAACCTCTACATCCATATGAAAAGTGCTTCTATATCTTTAGGTTTGTTTGCTTCATTTATAAAGAAAATATACATGAAGTATTTTTAAGATTTTTGAGTAAAAGCATTGTTTCTTTATACGAAAATTCACCTCATTCTACCTCAAATTTTATTTGGTTAATTTCAGATATGCATGATCATGTTTGAGTTTTTAAATATTAATGTGGATTCAATTCCTGACATCAATTATTTTCACTGGTTTCTTGTGTAGATTAGAAGTAAACCACAAAAATGTAATTTAAGTGCTACTGCCAATTAGCCTTAGTATTCACTCATAGACCCCAAATTAGAGTACTTTCTTCAATTTTAATAGTCTTGTTTAGAAAATCGCATTTCTCAGATGATCTTATTTAGTTACTGAAACTGTTACCATCAGGATGCCGGTAACACATGCTGGTTTCTCCTTTCTGTTTTCCAGATGCTGTCCACTTATGAGCAAATAAGGGCACATAAGGACACCAGGGCTCTGGGATACGCTGGGTTCCTCCCCCTCACCTTGTCAGAGAAAAACCTCATCAGCTATGTTGTTCTTCAGAATTCTCTGATGACAGAGACCCACTTGCAACACCTCCAGAAATTCTTGTATTTCAGTGCTAACTGCCTGGCTTATCTATCTCTAGCCATTATTTTTCTTTCTAAAGGTGTAGAGAGGGAAAAGGGTTAGGGAAGATTGGAGAAAGAAAGAGAAAAGCGTGTCTTTACATCTACGTAATTAATTTTTCTATGCAGGGACAAAACAGCATTTCAAATTTTTGTCTGTAAAGTCACGGCTTGTACAGCTTTCTAAATAGCTTCCTTCTCATTTTATACATATTTTAGTTTCTTGTGACAGAAAGTTGCTTAAATGTCACTTTGATTATGCCTTTTTTTAATGAGAATTTCAGAGGAAGAAATGAAGGAAGTGAGGGAGGGAGGCAGGGAGAGAAAGTCTCCTTTGCCCTCAGGTAGCCTCCCAGAAGGGAGAGTGGAAACTCCGGAGTAATAGGAAACCTTTACTGCGCTCATCCCACGGCAAACTCGTCCCAACTCAGGGAAAGAGGAAAGCTTCTACAATTTAGCAGGAAGGCCATGAAAAGAGAGTAGCTGCAGGTCAGTTTCCCTGGTTATCTGGTGGCCACCACAGACCTAAGGCCATCAAAGTGTAGGAATCTGAGTGACTGCTGCACAGCAAATGATGTCAGCAGCGATTCAAGGAGGCCAGCACTGAGGAAAAAATTCTCAACCTGACAAAACCGTCCTATTTGCAATTTGCATTTTTTCTCAATTTTCAATAATCCTTTCTCATTTGACAAGGGCTGTGGTTATACTGTTTTAAAATATGAGTTGATGGTGTAAAAATTATGAATTAGAAAACAGTTGTATTATTGGGCCCAGTGGCGCAGCGCGGTTAAGTGCTCACGTTCTGCTTCAGGCAGCCTGGGATTCGCTGGTTCGGATCCTGGGTGCAGACATGGCACTGCTTGGCAAGACGTGCTGTGGTAGGCGTCCCACATATAAAGTAAAGGATGATGGGCACAGATGTTAGCTCAGGGCCAGTCTTCCTCAGCAAAAAGAGGAGGATTTGCAGCAGATGTTAGCTCAGGGCTAATCTTCCTCAAAAAAAGAAAGAAAGAAAGAAAAGAAAATAGCTGTATTAGTTAATGGACTACAAGTTAACTAAAATTCTTGAGCAATATTGGAGATTGAAATACACTTCAGGGAGGAAATTATCAAAACACAGAGGTGAAGGATACAGAAGGGATGTGCAGGGGACTGACCTGGAAGCCCCATCCTGGCTGAGGGTTTGACAGGAACTGAGAGCCCAGGTTCTAGTTTGCATGCCAAACTTTACCCGCTCTCCAAGCACACTGAGGACCAGAGCAGAGAAGCCCCCACACGGCCAATTATAAACCCATCCCACGAATTTTATGAGATCCTGACTGCTTAGCACTTTTCGACCCTCTAAGGGGGCCTTACCAACTCCTGTCCAGCTCAACATCTTAGTCTGTATTAGAACCTTGCAAGTTACCCGCTACTGTCTACATTCAATGAGAGAAGAAACTGGGGCTCCAGAAAAGTTCAGTATGAGCAGGAGTGGTAGGAGTCCAAGGTAGACACCTGACCTGCACTGGACAACCTCTATACAGTGCTGTTGGTGCTTAGAAAGCTTGAGGAGAGACTTGGTGATGCTTCTTACCATGAAAAGGAATTCCTTTTCAATGAAAAAGACATATGGACATATTTATTCACCTTATGTCTATTCTTTAAAACACATATATACTACTGATTTCTTTTTTTTAACAGGCTTTATTTATTTATTTTGAGGAAGACTGGCCCTGAGCTAACATCTGTGCCCATCTTCCTCTACATTATATGTGGGACTCCTACCACAGTATGGTTTGCCAAGCAGTGCCATGTCCACACCCGGGATCTGAACTGGGAACCCCAGGCTGTGGAAGCAGAACATCAGCACTTAAGCGCTGTGCCACCGGGCCGGCCCCATACAGATTTCTTAAAACAAAAAGCTGCTCAACCCCCTAAACACACTACTTTCTTCACTGTGGCTGCTGTTATAGGTATATATGAGTATTCATAATTAAATTGAAAGTTGAAAATTCATGCAAGATACAAGTTAAGGCTAAATGTCAAGTAGAAGTAACATGTGTATAAATGTAATCATATATACTATCTTGAGAAAACTAAATTTTCTACATTGAAAGATGTGTGTATATATATCTAAAAAATATATATATATATGTGTGTGTGTGTGTGATAAAGGAAATTGCAGCAGATACTAGAGCATGAGATCTCATTAATATTTGAGAAAAAAATTAAAACTAAGTAATTGTGTCCATAGTGTTCAACCGTGGTAAAAAGTTCATCAAGTTTTGTACTTTAAATATCTTATAATTTTATTTGTCAATTATACCTCAATAAAGCTGAAAAAAAGTAATGAAATGAAATAATAATATAAATCATGAAGAAAATAGATATTAGCAAAATAAAAAAGAATAGTCAAGAAATGCCAAAGACTTAAACTTTATACTAGGCTGATATTTGTGTGTTAATTTCAGCAATAGCTTGAGAGGTCATGAGAGTCAAGTGATATAATTTATTTTTTATTTTGTACCCCTCCCCCCCAACCTTTACCCCAGCACAGTGACTGACATAAAAGACACACGATAAATGCTTAATGAATAATTAATTGATGTGAACTAAGTGATTTAGATGTATTAATCTTAAGTGAGGATAGATTCTGTCAGACTTCCACTAATTCCAGATATATACCCAGAGTTGAAGGATGGCCATCAGGTAGGAGAGAAATGTCATTAGTCAGTGCTTTGTCAATGTGTTGAAAGATGCTTAGGAAGTACGAAGTTCTAGAACGTGGGAAATATCAGAGAAGGTAGAAGAATACTTATATGCAGATATACATGTTTGCAGAAGGCAATTAGAACAAGAAGTTTTCATGTCATTAAGTGTCTAAACTAGTCTGAACAGTAAGATGAATGTTAGAAGGAAGACTTCAGTCAAGGTGAGTATGGAGAAAAATGGTTAGTAGCATTTTTACCTTTTTTGAATCAAACATGAGAAAAAGTAGAATTATAGCTTTTCAATGGAGTACTTTTTCCAAGGCTAAAAAGTAGTTTTAGATATTGTCAGTATTGTCACGGTCCCTTGCAAACTCAGAGTTGTTAACTGGGCAAATTCTTATTGGCCTCAGGGACCTCTCTCAAACATGGACGCTAATCCTCCACCTTCAGACGGCATTAGCTTTCCGCTAAAGCCTTTATCTCAGACGGCATAGTTCTCTCACTGCTGTGGAGAAAAGAGAAGCGTGCACACATAAAGACAAGCAGCTGAGGCCATTGAGTGATCTGTGGCTCTCCCATGTTTTCTTAACCCGCTAGTGTCTGGTGCTTTTCTTTCAATAGAAAAAAAGTCAGTGGAAAAAAACTGAAACCAAGTTATCTAACTTTCTTTGTATAGTGTTTGAGAGTTTGAAGTAACCAGTGTCTGGGAAGCAAGCAAGCACTGTGCTCCTCACCTGTAGATTTTGAGGACCCTTATAGTCTAAAAAGGGCTTAAGCATTCCGTGACCTGTGGCCCCACCGAGCTGCCAATCTTTCCAATATAACAGTTTTTTTGAAACATTGGGAGAATATTAGGCTTTTCTTATCTGAAAGTGCCAATTTCTTTCACTGAGTGCAGGTGGGGTGAGGCACCTACATAGAGAAATGCCCTGCTGTAATTTTCACAAATGAAGGAGCGGCAGGACACGAAGAGGGAACTCCCAGTTTTTTTCACCAATCGTCTCACAGGTGGCAGCCTGCTCCAATGAGAGTCTGGCAGTTTGGAGGTGGCTGTTGGCAGGAAGAAAGGGATAAATAAGGTGACTTTTGTACCAATCTTGCAGAAATTTTTCCTGAGCCTAATGAAAAGAATTATAATAATGTCAATTCCTGCCAGATGTAGTAAGGCTCTTGGAACAATGAGAGAAAGCAGTGCATTCATTAATACCTAAGTTCTGCCATTCACATAAGGTCTCCACTTTTTCAAGGAGCTGGGAGGGTGGAGGCAGCTGAGATAGGCACTAGACGTTAAGCTGGAGAAGGCAATCAGCAATCTAATATGTTACTACAACTACTCTAGTCCATACACAAGCAGCACAGTTACTAACTGAGACGCGCAGACTCTCAACCCTCATTCCCCCACAGGCCTTATGGAATCATAATCTGCATTTGAGCAAACATAATTCCCACATGATTTGTACGCAAACTAAAGTTCCAGATGCACTAACTCATGGTATTCAAAGAACTGGGCAGGCTCAGTCATGGTTTAAGTCA